ATCTGTAACTCCAGTTCCTAGGAGTGGGTCCGGCAAGCCGTAGATACTAAATGAATGGATGGAGGGGTGCATGGTTGGGGAGCTGTACCTCCAGCTCTGCTCTTCTCTGGATTCTGGACAGTATTCCTTTTGAAGGCTCGCCTTAGAGATGAAGTCTGTCTGATCCTCACCTGGGAGAGCCTCACTTCTTTCTGGTGAAATCCCTCCACATCTTCAAGTTCAGCTCAACAGCAACCACCACCTCTGGCGCCTGCACACAGCCACACAAAGCTCCAAGCCACACACATTTTCTCATCTGATCCCAACAACCACCCCATAGGTAGATACTATTACTTTATTTTTCACGGACTAGGAAATGGGCTAGAAATTATTTCATAGATGATAAAACTGAGGCCAGAAAGAGACTTGGCTAATGTCTCATAGTGAGATGGATATAATTGCAGTTTCCACTTCAGTGCTAGGAACGCCCTTAGTTGTGACATGAATGCTGCTTTGATTTTTAGAGTTGGCAGTGAGAAGCAACAACTCAAAACAGGAAATGGCTCTTTCCTCAAGCTCTCTCCTTCCTTCCTCTTAATATATCAAACATGATCAGCAATTTAGAAGCTGTGGTTGGCCACTTGTGGAAAGAAAGCGTAGGCTCTGGCTGTAAGCTATGATAAGACTGTCATTTAGATGAGAAACCCATGTTGCGATCATCTCTCCCGCAGATTGTACAGTCTTCTACAGGCATTACCCTGCTGGGAGTAAAGAAACCATTACAGCTTCCAAACACTTCTCCAAAGCTTCTCAGTAAAACTTACTGAACATATATCCCAGGCATATGGAATAGAATAACACTGGCATTAGTGCCAATGCTTTTCATTCCTGAGCCCATGATGACATAACCAATAGACCCAGGCAGGAATCCTTCCCATCAAGCCAGAGAAATAGCCCATTTCAGTGTAGCAATCCAAGCAACTGCAATCAATCGACTGGAGTTGGTGCAAACCATCAAACCTACTTAATATTTTATCCTATCGCATGCCAGGCTGTTGCTAGGAAATGCAGAGATGAATAAAACATTGTTTCTGCCCTCAAGTCTGGAGGCAGGATATGGACAGGGGTTGGGAGGAGACAGACCTGTGGACACATATTTATTATCAGGTTAAGTATTAAACCAGGGATAAATATATTAACACAGTATTGTGGAAGCACATGTGAGACAATGACTAATTCTCCCTAGAAGCGTGACACAGAGGTCAGTCTTGAAGGATGAATAGGAGTTGCATAGGCCGAGCAAGGTGGGATGGGTATTCCTGGCAAAGGGACTAACATATACTAAGGCTTGGGATCCAGGAAGCATTGGAACAGGTATCAGGAGAAGAAAACCTATACTCAGAGTGGAAAGGACCATTTTCTTGCATCTCTCTAAGCCATGGATATGTCATCTATAAAAAGGATAATAGTACCTACCTTATAAGCTTGTGGTGAGGCTTGAATAAGATAATGTATGTAATGCGCTCATATGATGCCTGGTTCAATAAAGTCGGTTCTTACCGTTGTCTCTGGAATACTAAAGGGCATGAAGTTAGTTGACATTTGAGTCAGAATAGGTGTAAAGTAGAGGAACATCATCAGATTGAAAACATTTTTATATTTTCCATGATAAAAATACATGTTTATAACAGAAGAGTTGAAATATTTTTAAAAGAAAAAGAAGAAAACTTCTAACCTCACTCACCTGGAGAGAACCTCTCTTGATATTTTGCTGCAGTGTCTCCCAGTCTTTCTTTGCTCTGTGTAATTCTTTTCTATACCTTTAAGCATACCATATGAACAAAAAGTTCTTTGTTCCACATAAAAATAACAAACAGTTTTCTATAGTATTATAATCTCTTTAAATATATCATTTTATTGGCCAGCATCCACTGAATGGATCTATTGTAATTTATTCAACCATCTCCCTGCTGTTGGACAAGTAGGTTGTCTACATTTTTTTTCTTTTACTATTGTCAGTCAGGTTATGGAGAACATCTTGGCACATAAGGCGTGTTTTTTTCCCTCTGTATTTCCAATTAATTCCTTAGGATAAAGACCCAAAGGAATTAGAATTTAAGAGTTTTGATGCAATGCCATCAAACTGTTTCCTGAAAGGGTGCATCAACACTCACTCAAGAGGGTTTGTTTGATACAAGCCTTAACAGCTTTGGGCATTCTCATTTAAAACTAAATCTCTGCTAATGTGTTGGCCACAAAAAGCAAAACCAAATGGGCAGCATTTCCTTTGTCATTCAGAAGTGGGAGAAGAGCTCACATGTGTGTCTCGTACTTGGTTCTGTGTCACAACGTCTCAATGCTTAGTTTTTATCCAGTTGTTTGATGGATGGGGGAGAGATCAAAAGCTGCTATCAGATATACTTAAAATATTAACGCTTTGTCATCTTTTAAAGAAATATTTTGTTGTTTTTAATTTTGATGGAATTAAATCTACAATTTTTTTCCTTTGCAATCACTTCTTTTCTTTAAGGATCCGAAAGGGCAGGAATTTTTAGCTCCTGCTCGATAAGTCACCTGTCTTTCCAGACCTCAATTTCTTTATCTTTTAAAAGGGTGGGTAGGCAAAGATGTGATCTCTCAGCTCTTTTCTAAGTATAGATTCTTGGACTCTGGACTCCACAGGGTAGCTGGACACAGGTGACCTTTCAGGTGCTCTGGGGCTCCAGCTAGAGAATCCTTTTTCCTTGCGGGGTTCATTTAGTCATTCTACTACCACCTTCTGAGCATCTACCATGTGCCAGGCATTATTCTAGGTGCTGGGGATACATTAGTGAAGAAAACAAAGCCCCTGCCATCACTTCTAGTAAAGAGACAGATAACAAACAAAGAAAAAAGAAAGTTATAATAATGCTGACGGTGATAACTACCATGGAAGAAAATAAATAGAGGTAAGGGGTTAGGGAGTGCTGGGAGATGGGGGAGGGGAGTTGCTATTATATATAGGAGTCAAGTAATATTTTAGCAGAGACCTGAAGGAAGTAAGGGAGCCAATCAGGTGGATATCTGAGAGAGAGCATTCCAATGAGAGGGAACAACATTCCTGCAAAGATCTTGAGGCAGGAAACTTGTTGGATTAGTTGGTGGGGGAGGGGGGCAAAGAGGCCAGAGTGGCTAGAGCAAAGGGAGCAGGAGGAATGGAGTAGGGAAAAGGGTATGAGAGGGCAAATGGTCTTGGGGCCCTCATAATGACTTGGCTTTGACTGAATGAAATGGAAACTAGTGGCTGGATTTGAGCAGAGCAGTGACCTGATCATAGCTAGGATTTAAAGGAATTAGAAGAGGCATCTAGTCTAGTGGGCATCACAGGCTCCAGCTCTGGGATGAACTACACCCTGTCCCATTCCCAGCTGATGGACCTTGGCCTTATGTCTCTCAGTCTCAGTTCTTTATCTAGTAAATATTTCTAAGATTTCAGCCAGGTATGCCTCCCTCACTATAGCTGACCTAACTGGGCCAGGTTTTTGTGTAGGTGGTAGGTAGGGGAGAGAGCCATCCCAGGGTCTCTTGATGCTTAACGTGGAATTTCCTATCTCTAGGAAGACCACAGGGTGGCAGTGATAGCGTGCGGGTGTGGCCGACATTCAGGCTATCGGTAAATAGCCAGCATCTACTTATTCTGAGCCTGGGACTCTTTCTGGTTCAGGGGATGTGGGGAATTGTCGAAAAGCCAGCAACAAGCCCCCACACAGTCAGAATGGTGCCCCCACTACCCTAAGAATCAGGTCAGTGAGTCATGGCACAGGGCCTGCCTCCAGAAATCCATTCAGTTGCCCCTTTGTCAGGGAAGGCGGTCTTTTCCTGATTCTGCTCCTCGCAGACCAGGCTAACACAGGCCACTGAATTAGCACACTTAGAGTCCCACGACTCCTCTCTTTAAAACACTCGCCACAGTTGAAATCTTATGTAGATTAGTAGGATTTTTTGATGTTTCTCTCCCTTACTAGTCTAGAAACTACAGGGACTGGTAAAGGCTTTGTCTGTTTTCTTCACTGCTGTGTTTCCAGAAGTTCCTCAGCATGCTACCTGACACTTAAGGGGTGCTCAATAACTGCAGTGAATGAGTAGATAGTGAGAAAAGCAGGTAATGCTCTTCCCTTTTATAGGCAATAAAACAGGCACAGACAGAAGGTCTGTCTTCTGACCCAATTCCTATAGCAGGAGCACTCAGGAGCATAGAGGCACACCCGACAACCTCCAACGTCCTCCATCCTAAACTCCTCTCCCTCCTCTGCCCTTCCAAGGGCGCCGCAGAGCCAGGTCCTAGCCCCAGAAACAAGACTAGTTTCCTGGGAAAAGATCCTGGGGCAGGAGCAGAGCAAGTGACAGCCTGTGAGTAACAACAGCAGCACTTAAAATGTAGCAGACACCGTTCTTCCACCGCAACTCTTTGAGGCAGGTTCTATTAGCACCCTCATTTTAAAGATGACGAAACTGGGGCACAAGGAGGTAAGCGGTATGTCCAAGATAGTAGTAGAGCCTATCTCATGGAACCGAGGCAGTAAATAAAGCTCGAGGCTGCACTCTTAACCACTCTGAGTTACAGTGCAGAACATCAGCACAGGCATCAGAAGTCATGTGTTTTTCCAGCTGGGCTTTAAGGGCCTGATGTCCTGTTCCCTCATCTCAGATTGGGATCATTAATAGTGGCTAGCCTATAAGGTTGTTGGGAGATGATTGCACGCAGAGTTTGGTACAGTGCCCAGCACACAATGAACGATCAATTTAATGTTAAGTACTGATATCCTTGTTATTTTATGAGTGTTTTTCGACCTGGGAAGGAGGGCTCCCGGGCTGTATTCTAGCTAGCACGGTTTGCAGGTGAGGTCAACCTGTGAGTTGGGCCGCGCGCGAGGCCCCTTCCCTTGGCCGCCCTCTCCAGCCCAGATGGGGCGGGGCGAGGGTGATGGAGCGACGAGGCTCTGGTCCCGCCCCGTCGCCTTTTAAAAACGAGCGCCGGGCGCAGGCGCAGAAAAACTCGCCGTCTTTCTCTGAACCGGCCCTAACGTGCACGCGCATGGAGGGGAGAGCGAGCCCTTCGCGAGAGCCCAGAGTCCGAGCAGTGGCTGACGTGCTGTGCCGCGGCCCGGTGGAGCCGCTCATCTTCTTTGCCAACTTTGCCTTGGTCCTGCAGGGCCCGGTCACCACGCAGTACCTGTGGTACCGCTTCAGCGCCGACCTCGGCTACAATGGCACCCACGACCGCGGTGGTTGCAGCAACCACACCGTGAACCCCACCGTGCAGGTAGCGGCGGCGACGGGGAGAAGCGAGGAGCGTGGCAGGGGGCGGACCCTTAGCTAGAGCGTGAGGGCGACTGAGGGAGCGGGTCCAGTGTGAAGGTGGGGGCTGCCGAGGGGGTTATGGATACTGGGTGATGGGCCTGACCGAGAAGTGCAGTATGTAGGCTGCGTAAGTTTCTTTGCCTTGAG